TGGGGAGTGAGGGCAAGGGTGGGGCGGGAACTGGGAGGAGGGGAATTATGGGGGGAAAAAAGAGGAACAAATATAATAATCTGAACAATAAAGACTTAATTTAAAAAAAAAAAAACACTACTGGAATTAGCCCAGCAGCTGTGGCTCAGTAGTTGGGTGTCAACCTATGAACCTGGAGGTCACAGTTCCGTTGAGTCTCGGGTGGGGCACATTCCCAGGTTGTGGCTTGATCCTCAGTGTGAGGCATGCAGGAGGCAACTGATCAGTGATTCTCTTTCATCACTGATATTTCCATCTCTCTCTCCCTCTCTCTGAAATCAATAAAAATATATTTGGACCAAAAAAAAAAGAGTGAAAGAGATTTTAAAAAAAACAAAAATTAAGTGAGTTTAGCAAAACTGCAGTATATAAGATCAATATCCAAATATCAATTCCATTTCTATATTCAGCAATAATCAGAAACTGAAATTAAAAAACTATTATTATCATTTATAATAACTTTCAAAAACTAAAATACTTTGGGATAAATCTGATTTAAAATGTGTACATTATATACAACATTGCTAAGAAAAATTCAAGATCACCTAAATAAATGGAGAGGCATACCTTGTTTGTGGGTCAGAAGACAATATTGTTTAGATGTCAATTTATCCCAAATTGATTTATAGCAAGCATGTCAAACACATGTGGCCTACAACAAATATTTTTGCGGCCCAGCCAATATAACGGTATGTAAGAAACATTTTAATAAAAATTTCATAACAATGTTTACAATATCCTGTTATACATAATTATTAATAACGAACTACAACGTTAGCTAATGACTGATACTATAACTGTGTTGCATTCATTTCCTTTATGTGCCTTACGCACAGGTTTACCATTTCTCTCCACTAATACCAGCAGTGAATATTTTAGCAGCCAACGGCCACGTCATTAGTCTTGTACTGACTTGTTTGCTGTGCGCAACAGGAAATATTTTGCTTTCAGAGAACAAGAAAAATAGGTTTATTTGTGTTACGCTTATTAATCTGTGCAGTTATTCAGTGTCTGGTAAGTTAATGTTCAAGAAAAAAATATTAATTTTTATTAAAATGTTCTATTATTTTATATTAACAATTACGTCTTTATTTCAGCTCTTTGTATTCAGCATGTCTCTATCAAAATAAACCTATGTTTGTATGAAAATTGAAGCTTTTTTTTTTTTTGCGGCCCCAATAAACTTAAACCTTGTTTATTTGGCCAGTGTTAGCCTTTGAGTTTGACATGCTTGATTTATACTAGTAGATTCAACACGACCCCAATCAAAATTCTAGAAAGCTTTTTTGGAGAAATTGACAAAGTGGTTCAAAAATTCATTTGGAAATGCAAAGAACCAAGCATGGCCAAAACAACTTTGAAAAAGAAGAACAAAGTTGGAGGACTTACCTAATTTCAAAACTTAAATATACAGTAATCAAGACACTGTGTCATGGTGTCAAGATAAATAATGGATCAATGTAACAGAATAGCGAGTTCAGAACTAGAGTCATATGTATATGGTCAAGTGATTTTTGACAAAAGTAAAAAGACAAATCAGTAGAGAAAGGACTATATTTTGAACAAATAGTGCTGGAACAACTGGATATCCATATTGAAAAATATGAACTTCAAACCATTCTTTACGTCATAAACAAAAATCAACTCAAAATGGATTAATTGTAAAACTATGAAACTTCTAAAAAAATATAGAGGAGCCCTAGACGGTTTAGCTCAGTGGATAGTGTGTCAGCCTGCGGACTGAAGGGTCCCAGGTTTGATTCCGGTCAAGGGCACATGCCTGGGTTGTGGGCTCGATCCCCAGTAGGGGGTGTGCAAGAGGCAGCCAATCAATGATTCTCTCTCATCATTGATGCTTCTCTCTCTCTTTCTTCCTCTCTGAAATCAATAAAAATATATTTAAATAAAAAAGAAAATATAGAGGATATCTTTGTGATCTCTGGTTAAGCAGATTTCTTAATATAACACCTAAAGGATAACTGAGGTGGAATTCTTCAAATCTAAAAACATGCTCTTCTAAAGTCAGTGTGAAGAGAATACTTTTCTCCAGACTGAGAGATAATATTTTCAAATTACGTATCTGATAATGAGCCTCTATCCAGGAACTATAAAGAACTCTCAAAATTCAACAATTAGAAAAGAATCCAATTTTAAATCAGGCAAAAGATATGAACAGGTGTTTCAGCAAAGCAAATATATGGATGGAAAATAACCATGTGGTAAGATGTTCAACATTATTCATTAGGAAAGCGCAAATTAAAGCTACGAGAAAGGTATTACTATACAACATACCTATTAGAATGGCAGAAATTGGAAAGGTCACACCAAGTATTAGGCGAGGTACTGAGCAAAATGAAATTTTCATTCACTGCTGGTGGGAATGTAAAATACCACAATCCATGCCGAAACCAGTTTGGCTCAGTGGATAGAGCGTCGGCCTGCGGACTGAAAGGTCCCAGGTTCGATTCCGGTCAAGGGCATGTACCTGGGTTGCGGGCACATCCTCAGTGGGAGATGTGCAGGAGGCAGCTGATCGATGTCTCTCTCTCATTGATGTTTCTAACTCTCTATCTCTCTCCCTTCCTCTCTGTAAAAAATCAATAAAATATATTTAAAAAATAAAATAAAATAAAATAAAATAAAATACCACAATCCCTTTGGAAAACAGTCTGAAAGTATCTTAAAATTAAACACAGACATACTATAGGACCAAGCCATTCCATTCCTGGATATTTATCCAAGAGAAATGAAAACATGTCCTATGAGGACTTGTTTACAAATGTTCATAGCAGCTTAACCTATGATGGCCCAAAATGGGAAATAACCCAAATGTCCATCAATAGGGAATGAAGAAACAAACTGTGGTGCATCCATACAGCGGAATACTACTTAGCAATAAATACTAATTATTGATACATGCAACATGAAATAATGTAGAAATAACTGTGTTGAGTGAAAGAGACCAGGAAATATGAGAACATATACTGTATATAATTCCACTTATATGACATTCTAGAAAATACAATCTAATCTCTAGTAGACAGAAAACATATCAGGTGGTTGCCTGGGATGGAAGGGATGAGAGGTAGGAAAGGGCAAAAGGGAGTGACTTCAAAGGAGCAATGGGAAACTTTGGGGGGTGATGAAAAGGTGCATCATCTTTTTAAATATATTTTTATTGACTTCAGAGAGGAAGGGAGAGGGAGAGAGAAACATCAATGGTGAGAGAGAATCACTGACTGGTTGCCTCCTGCACGCCCCACACTGGGCAATCAATCCCGCATATGCCCTGACTGAGAATCAAACTATGACCTCCTGGTTCAACCTCTGAGCCACACCGGCTAGGTGCACTATTTTAATTGTGGTGATAGTTCCATTGGTATATACAAATGTCAAATGCACCAAACTGTATATTTTAAATATGTGCACTTTATTATATATCAATTATCTTCTATAATAATAAAAGGGTAATATGCTAATTAGACCAGATGTCATTCAGGACATCCTTCTTAATGAAGCCAGGGCTGGGGGGAAGCCAGCCTGGGTCCCGGGTGCCTGCCGGCAGCTAGAGGAGGGAAGCCCAGGTCCCGGGTGCCGGAGGGAAGCCGGTACACCAGCAGCCAGGGGAAGGAAGGCCTGCTCTTGCACGAATTTTCGCGCACCAGGCCTCTAGTACCTCAATAAAGCAGGGCAAACAGAGAGAAGAGAGAAAACCATCAATAGCATAAAAAGCAGGCAGCACCTATTCTGGACACCAGGAGCTTCTGAATTTTTGTCTTGGCGTCTCTCTTGCTGTCCAGGTGCCAGGGCTAGGTTTTCCCCCACACCCCTTTCATTAAGCACAAAGTGATAGGGAAGCCCTCTGTGGGGAATGAATTGTGGACTTAGAAAGGGAGAAAATGTGGGCAAGTAGAACGTTCATTCTGTAATGTAAAACCCTTTGGCATAACAAACAACTCTAGGCAGTGAGGCTCTAGGTGATTTTCCTTTGGTTTATTTAAATTTTCTGTACTTTCCAAATTCTTTAGAAGCATTGTTGTGCTCTTGGGGGGTGGGGGGGGACAATTTTAAAAGAACCAGTTCAAATTCTCCATTGAGAACTATTCAAAAAGAAACCAAGGGGCTTTTCTCACACTGATAATTGATGAACAGCCACCTGAACATACACAAATCTAAGCTTAACGTAGATCAAAGAACGGGGAAACTTCATTTACAGTATGTGTAGAAGGTCAAAACCTCAAAACAATGGGTATGTTCCAAACTCTGAATTTTGCTTTCACCAAATTAAGGACCATCATATGTTTTAACTGATTTCCTACCCTTTAGGCTGAAACCCGAGCTCTCTTGTGCTGAAGGGAAAGTCCTGAATGAGTTTCCGGGAGGCTGGGGCAGTGATGAGAGGTTCCTTGCCCCTGAGGCTGGAAGCCTATACGTGAATCAAGCCTACAACACCGGATGGACACCAGCAGAGGCAGGATTTGAATCCTGCTTGGTGGCAGACATTTATGCCACATTTTTAGCCAAATGCTGATAAAATATGTTTCTTTTAAAATAACTTCACAGGTCAAATTAGGTGCAAAATGCTTCTTATACAATCTGAATACAAATCTTACAGTCTTCCTGCATGGTTTCTAAAAGAATAAACCAACTGCTTAGTGATCATAGAATTCTTGGCTTAATTCCTTTCATTTCAGAGAAAAAATGAAAATAGGTTAGATACCACAACAAAACCCATGTAACATAAAACAGAAGACTTACATGTCTTGGAGTGTTCGTGCGATAGCATGTAATTGGCAAGAGGTGGCGTGTATGTTAAGCACTGCAATGCTGCATTGGCAAAGCAGGTATTGCCCAAATTCTGGAGCCCAGCTCCAACTCTATGAGTTTGCTGCCACTTAAGACAAATCTTCTCAGATGGGAAAAGAACTTTTTGCGGAGGAGCAATGCCATCGCCTAGGGCTAGAAAAATAAAGAACAAACATTTAATAACAAAGCTCCACATGCTTTTGAAGCTAAATAAATAGCAATATATGAAACCTGAACCTGATGAAGATTCTAAATCTTTTTACCAGCTAACCAGGAATACAGAGGAGGAAGGCAGAACTCAGAATGATTTGGTCTCTTCAATAAAAATATATACTAGTAAAAAAAAATGCTCTAACTGGTTTGACTCAGTGGATAGTGTCAGCCTGTGGACTGAAGGGTCCCTGATTTGATTCCGGTCAAGGGCACATGCCTTGGTTGTGGGCTCGATCCCCAGTTGGGGGCGTGTAGGAGGCAGCCGATCAATGATTCTTGTCATTGATGTTTCTCTCTCTCTCTCCCTTGTTTTCTGAAATCAATAAAAAATATATTAAAAAGCAAATAAACAAACACCACCCAGTATTTTTAAAAACATCTTTAAATGTTTAAAAGACAGACATCTACTTAGAGAACTATAGTTAATTGAAAAGTTAATGAAATGCTTGTCCATTTCAATTCTCACCAAAATAAAGTTTATCCTTCAACAAATTAGAAATTTAAAAACTACAAATAACATCCGGCCAGTGTGGCTCAGTGGTTGCTCAACCCGTGAACCAAGAGGTCACTGGTGCAATTCCCAGGCAGGGCACATGCCTGGATTGGGGGCTTGATCCCCAGTAGGGAGCATGCAGGAGGCAGCCAACTGATGATGTTTCTTTCATCAATGTTTCTCTATCTCTCTATCCCTTTCACTTCCTCTCTCTGTAAAAACTAATGAAAACATATTTTTTAAAAATAAAGTAAAAAACTACAAATATCATAGTAATTAAAAATAATCTCCCTTGTTAGGATACGTGTGTTAATCATAAATAAGCAGCAGAGGAAAATGAAGCCCATCATAATGTAACTGGCTGGCCACTCAGGCAGCATTATACCATGCAAAATAAGAAGCCCTCTGGAACTACCAACCCATTGACAGCACTGACACAGGAGTTTCTTGGAGTATAGTACCTTGATCCTTCTGTGGTGATGGTTTTGACTTATCAGGTACAGATGAACTTGAATACACTACAGCACCAGGCACTGGTCCTAAAGAAAGCGTGTGATTTGAAACCTCATTTAAGGAAGACACAGCACCCCAGCCGGCAGACCCTGCATCCATGTCTCCAGGTGAGACTGCCTCGGAGCTGCCAGGCTGGTTCTGATAGGTTGAAGGGCCCGAAGATTCAGACGCTTTGTCAACTATGGTCATTGTTCAGCTCTGCAAAAGACAAAAGCACACATTTCTCTCAGAAGATTGGGAAAGTAACCTACTTATTCTACCATTAGAACTCAGGAAAGTTAGTCTAGCAATTTTTGAGTATCTTCAAATATAAAAGTAACAGTATTTTTCACTTTGTAATCATTTCCTCAGGACATTTAGTATTGTCTACTCCGCAACAATTGTCTACATAGCAACAATTTTTAATTATAAAACTTTCAATGGGCCTACTAGCCAGCTTGGCTCAGTCCTCGGCCTGAAGGGTCCCCGGTTCGATTCCAGTCAAGGGCACATGCCTGGTTGCAGACTTGATCCCCAGTGGGGAGCGTGCAGGAGGCAGCCGATCAATGATTCTCTTCATCACTGATGTTTCTATCTCTCTCTTCCTCTCCTTTCCTCTCTGAAATCAATAAAGATACATTTTTTTAAAAAACTTCAATAAAATATTTGATTACATCTTATCATTCTATTCCATGCCTCTTAAAATTATTTCAATTTATAATCAGGTACCTCAATTTCCAATTCTCTACATTTACCCAGTACCTATATTCTTTCTTTCCATTGCTTAGAACTAGAATGTGAAATGCACTAATGCATGCAACTCAATTTTCAATCTGTATATGATTCTCCAGGGAAAAGTCTCAACTACACAGAGAGAAAATCTAGCTTTAATGCTGAGCATAAAGTCCAAAAGACGCTGTTTGAAATACATTGCATTTTTAAAGTATAGGAAGCCTCACCTCTGAAGCACATTTTTCTGAAGGGACTCATTTATTTGGTATATTCGACTTGTACAAGGAAGCCCAATATAATTACACACTTTTATACTTTTATACAGTAACTTATTTAATTGTCATAATGGGCCTATGAGACATTGAACAGAAATCGCAGGATCTATAAAATGCACCAACTACAACCCAAACTAGTCAGCAACTGGGACTAGGGACCAGGTCCAACATTCCTGACTGGGCTTCCTCCTGGCTATACCAACCTGTCAATACACTACTTTCAAGACTGTTTCCAAAACTGCCAGGTAGCAACCAAATCTGGTATGCCACTGCTCAGTGGGTAACCTTTCAGGTGCCCTGACTGCCCCCAGCACAACATCCTCCTCGCACCTAGCCTAGGCACCGCCTGGCCTAAGGACTTCTGCACACACACCCTCAGGTCCATTCCCACCTACTCTCTCTGGGTTCTGCACATGCTGTTCCTTTTACCTCTCTTCTCCATCCTTCCACCTCCAGCCAGTTAACACTTCCACTACTCAGAATTCATTTCCTCTGGGACACTTTCCTTGACAACCTCCTCCCCCAAGAGCTGGGTTAAAACCCCTCCTCCAGGCTCCCCAGCACCCTGCACTCATTTATACAGCAGCCCTTCAGCACCTACTGCACAGCAAGCTCACGTGCTGCTCTCCGTCAAGTCCTCACTGGCCTGACACACAGAAAGCTTTCCATGCAGGCGTTGAACAAATGAATGAATTCTGGAGGCAGAAAATAACCCGTGTTTGCTTTAGCACCAGTTTGTGCTGAGTGATTCACATACAGTATCTCATTTAATCCTTTAAAAACTACGAAGTTGGAACAGCCTTTAAAACTTGTTTTAAAAATATTCAATACTGTAAATGGATAATAAATACCCACGTACATGCCACCTCAACAAATGTTACCATGCACTATCTGCTCATAAGAAGCTTTTGTTTTCAGCCTAATTTGTGTTATAATTTTAAATGAAGGCATGAGTACTTCTCCCTCAGAAGCATAACCTTAAAAAACTTTTTGGGCTCTTACATAAAAACAAAAGATGTTATTTAGATCTAATAAAATAAAAACTGAACTGGAATTTTAAGTCAATCTCAGATACTGAGAAAAAGGGAAAAAAAACAAACAAAAGGGAAAAAGAAAGAAAAATAAGGTACTGGACCTTCATTCAGGAAGAAAACTTGAGCCATATTATCCAAAACAAATTCACATTTTTCTCATCGAAGAGTCCAAAGAAATTATGAAACAGTGTGGAGACAAGAGTAAGAAAACAAAAGAGGAAGAGGAAGGAAGGGAGGAGGTAAAGAAAGAAAGCAAAACAGCAATAAAGACTTACTTACAATGCCGTTAAACAGCAAAAGCCTTGGTTTTCCCTGGATAGACATCTTTTCAGGACAATCATTAACAAATGACCAAGTAAAACCATTCTACTGGCTCAAATGCCTTGTTGGAGGGGAGGGAGGGGTTCTTATATGGAAAAAAAAAAAGTGAAGGAATGCATACCAGTCGGTCGTCAGTAACCGTATAGCATTATACTTTCGGAAAACAAACCAGAACCATCCATTCGTTTCCATTTGTCCATTCCGCCGATGAATTCTCACCCTAAAACCATGAGGCATCCCACTAATCCCACCGGCCCAGAGAGAAACCCTTTCTGGTGGCCCAGCACCGCTGCGCAGGCCCCGGGATGCGCGCCCTTCCAGGTGCCATGCGCTCAGCAAAGCTTCCCAGCATCAGTCACAACCCTCCCGACATTCAAGCAACTGCTTCAGTGAAAAGTTACCACTTCTCTCAGCAAGTCCTGGTGATACACAAGAAGTTACAAACGCCGCAAGCGCTACAAGAATCGGGCTGGATGTGTGTGGAGGAATGAGACAAACTGACTTCACCAGTGTTTCCCCTCTTTTATTCGAAAGCCTTAAAATTCTCAGTCTCTTGTATGGTATTTCCTCCTCAGTATTTCTACCAAATGCCAGAATGCATTATCCTTTTTTTTTCTTTTTCTTTTACGTTTGATATGTCTATGCTGTCTAAACATTAAGGTACCCCACATGCACTGAGGTGGTGTCAATGCATGCAGAGAGAAACTGTTACACTCCGCTGCTCTGCACAAGG